TCAATCTTCACAGAAGCAAAGCCCAAACCACACCCACTGCCTGGAGTCCATTCTGACCCACAGCGCCCCTAGAGGACAGAGTGGAACTGCCCCACAGGGTCTCCAAGGCTGTCGATCTTTATGAAAGACAGACTGCGTCGTCTTTCTCCTGCAGAGCAGCTGGTGGGTTTGAACCACCGACCTCTCACTCAGCTCTCAACACTGGGTCACCTGAGCTCCTTGACGGGAATCGGCGCATGTGATCATGCTTCGCAGAACTAGACACCACAGGAGTGAGCGGACATAAACACCAGTGAGGCAGGAACCAAGTGCAGGCAGAGTGGGGCAGACGCTGTGGGGACCCAGGGCTGCCTAGGTGTGGCTGCCAGTTTGTGGCACCCCAGCCACTCAGCTTGCTTTGACAGTGCTCCCCATTCACGCTGGCTCTTCTCACTGGGTGAAGGGGACATAGGAACTCCCGCACTATTCCAATAATCTTTTGTGGGTCTAAAATTATCTCAGGATGTAAACCTTTTAAAAAGTGGAGTGATGTAAACAAAACGCTGAGTGATGACACTGGCATGCAGAGTGGCCAGACTCGCAAGGTAGCACACGAATGGCCAATGTGACCAAGATGTGACATGTGGCTGCTGACCTAAAAATAAGCCATTGCTGCTGAGTCAGCCCTGAGCTCTGGGGACACCGTGGGTCAGATCAGGGCTTCAACAGCTGATTTCTGGGAAGTACCGTATTTTTGCATATAACGCACCCACATAAGTCACACACACTGCAGATAACAGGTTCCTAATGGTGGCATACCACCAAAGCACACCTTCTTCTGAGGTGCCTCTGAGTGGACTCCAACAGCCAACCTTCCGGTCAGCAGCTGAGTGCTTAACCGGCCATGCCACCAAGGGGCCGCACGATAGACAGCCAAGCCACCTGCCTCAAGTCAGTTCCGCTGTATAACAACCCCGCGCGTGGTGGGTGGGACTCCGATCCGTGACGACCCCACGCGTGGCGGGAAGGACTGACCCCACAGGGTTCTCAATGGCTGATTTTTCAGAAGTTGGTCTGCAGATCTTTTTTTCAAGGTGCCCCTGGGTGGACTTGAACCTGCAGCCTTCTGGTTCGCAGCCGACTGTGTCAGCCAGGGACTCAGTGGAGGAGCACATACCTACAGGAAGCTATGCCACCCAAGCAGGTGGGCCTTAGAGCTGGCAGTGGAACCACTGGGTCTCCACTCGAGACGACGAGTGGTGGCAGAGTGGGCAAGCGGAGCGGCCGTTTGAGCTGCCTGCCATGGAGAGGGGACGAGGCTGACCATGGAGTCTCGGTCATCCTGCCGTGCTAGAGGGGCCCCTGGGCCTGAAGCCCAGTGGGAGAGGGAACAGACTCACGTACAACCCCCAGGCCCCTGTGACATGTTACATCACAGTGATTAACTCAAGGCCACCCACCAGCTCTCCATGGGGCACTGCTTCAAACCCCAATCCGAGGGTGCTGTTTGGATCTCCCACAGTTTCTCAGAACTGTTCTCTCTCTCTCTGCAAGAAGGCGCCTACGAGAAGGGAATCAGAACAGGCGTGTAGGACCAGTCCCTCCAAGGCTGAGGATAGTGGGCTGACGTATCAGACATCGGTGGGCGGTCACTGGGCCAAGAGGTTGTTGTTGTTGTTGTTAAGTGCCATCGAGTCGTTTCCGACTCATAGCGACCCCATGCACAGCAGAACGAAACACTGCCCAATCCCGTGCCAGCTCCACAATCCCTGCTATACTTGAGCCCATCATCGCAGCCACCGTATCAATCCATCTCCTTGAAGGCCTCCCCCTCTT